GTCGTAGAAGACGCGGCGGCGGAGGAGCTGCTGCCTGATGTCGGGGTGCAGGTCGGCCGGGTCGGCGCCGCACTGGAGGAGCGAGTTGACGGCGCGGAAGTTGTTGAAGAGGACGGCGACGTCGAGCGCGCTCCAGCCGCCCGTCGCGAACCTGTCGAAGAAGTTGCGCGGCTCCGCCAGGGCGCCCGAGTAGCCCCGGACGACGCGCGGCCGCGCCAGCGCCTCGGCCCGCGAGTCCACCCCCTCCCGATCCGACTCGAATTCGGCCAGCGCCGCGGCCAGGTCGGCGGAGCCGCGGCCCCAGAAGATGGCGGCGTACAGCGCCTGCGCGCTCGAGGCCGGCACGCCGGTGCCGGCGAGTTCCCACAGCAGCGCATTGGCCGCGGCCGGGTCGCGCTCGCGCGCCGCCGCGTACACCAGGCGCGGTAGCAGGTCCAGCCGCTCGAGCGAGTCGAACAGCCCGGTGCAGGCCGCCGTGCTCGCCAGGTAGCTGCCCGCCACGCCCCACGGCGCGTACGACTCGACGAAGCGGTCGACGAACCAGACGGCATTGTTGTTTCCTCCCCCGCCCTGGGCCCTATCAGCGCTCTCGGCCAGCATGCACGCTTGCACGATCACGTTGGCGGCGCGGAAGTTCCCCCGGCCCGCGACCTGCCACACGCGGACGGGGTCGACGCGCACGCGGTAGTCGAAGACGAGCTTGTAGATCCAGTCGTCAGACCGCGCAAGGCGCCCCGCGTCCCGCACCGCCGGCAGCGCAGCATCGTGACCAGGCCGCTCCGGCTCGCGGCCCGCCTCGGCCGGCGTGCGGCTCCACTCGTGCTCCGCGACGGCGTACACAACCTGCGGCAGCGCGGCGCGCAGCACGCGGCGCGCGCGGTCGTCTTCCCACGCCGCGTACAGCACCGCGCCGGCGACGTCGCTGTTGTCCGCCGTGTCGTCGGCGAACAGCCGCAGGAACACGCGCACGGCGTCGTCGACGGACGCGCGCGCGCGCGCCGTCGAGGCACAGCACCACGAAGACGTCGCGCCAGGCCGCGAAGCCCTCGAGCGGCTGGCCCCACCCCGTCTCGCGCGCGCGCCGCGCCGCCCGCAGTGCCGTCGCGCACTCGCGGGCCGGCTCCGACCCGCACTCGATCGCGTCGTGCGCGACGCCCGCGAGCGGCCCGCACGCGCCGCCGTGCGCCGTGCGCCGTGCGCCGTGCGGCCGTCCGCGCGACGTCCGCGCGCCCCGCGTCGAGCGCCAGGTGCAGCGGCGGCTGGTGCGCGCGGTACTGGTACACGGCGGAGACGTTGCGGCGGCCGAGCGCCGCCTCGTACGCGCGCAGGATCGCGGTCACGGTGGCTACGTCGCGGTTCTCGCGGATCGTGACCGACAGCATGGGCTCCGCGGCGTCGGGCGCGGCGGTGACGTCGAAGGCAGGCAGCATGTTGGCCAGCTGCAGCTGCGCGTCTGCGGCGAAGAAGTCGTTCTGGTACAGTGCCGGGTATTCGACGGCCAGTTGCAGGCGGTCTGCGGTCGTGAGACGGCTTCGGATCTGCGCTGGGAAGTCCGCCATGGGTAGGCCTGCCGGCTGGGGCACGCTGTGCAGAGCGGCTAGTCGAAGGGACCGTCGGTCGAATTGTGCGCGGGCTTCGTTTTGCAGTTGCTGCATCGCGGTCGCGGTGCCGCGGCCTTGGGACCGGAGGTTAGCTGCCTTTCCGTCATACTGCGCCAGGGTGAGGAGCATCAACTCTTTGATGTCTGCCTCGAACTGAGCATTTACTCGCCCGTCCATGATGCCGAGTCAGGGAACGTTTTCTGTTCTCTTTCTCTCTTTCTCTTCAATGGTCTTACAACAAACTACTTGTGTGCAAAAGGGGCTCCTATAACCCGTAATGTGTCTGGATCAAGAAGATGTTGATTCATCTTGTTTGGCGTCAGGTGGAAGTACATTGACTGCTTTTATACACTTCATCGAGGCAGCTTGAACTCGATTCTATTTACAACGGTTGACAAACAGTGAGTATTGATAACTGTTGTCTTGATGAGCCCATCTGTCGTTCTTATCTATTGTCCATGAGAACATGAACAATGCAGCCTCTCCTTTTGTCGACGCCCGCAACGCCACATCTGCAGCTTGAAAGACATGCTGCAACTACTGTTCGGGGCAACTCCTTTTCTTATCCTTTACGCCATTTTGTGCTTGATGAGCTCAATCCATGAGCCGATATCCTCCATAGTTTCGAGAGCGTTGGCCCAGTCTTGGGGTGTTCTTCTCCGTCTCCCGCCAGCGCCATCGCTCACCGTACCCTGGTCGTCGGTAAAGACGTTGTCCGAGATTATGCGCACCCTGCCGTTGATCTGAATCTCGAGCATGATGTTGGCAGTGATGGACTTAAAGGGAAATACGACTAGAAGACGTGGGACCGGATGAGCTGCCAGTGTTATGTCGACGGTCAGGGCATCAGAATGCGCCTCTTTGTTGGCATCGGTGGGATGGGACATGAACTCGTTAAATTCGTCATTGCTTGTCTTTGGTACACCAATGGTGTCTTTGTCCGCGACCTTCGGGATGCCTGGTTTTGACTTGAGACTATTTGACAGCAGCAGGGACAGAAATGCGTATTGACGCAATAACGGTAGCATGTCGACGAGATTCTTGGGGTGAGAGAACGGTATGTGGGTTAGGATCTGTCCATAGACGGGTTTGTAGATGAATAGAGTGTTCTTGTGCGCCTTCAGAACAGGCTCCGATTGTTCTCCTGGGATGTCGACGAAGGTAGGAACAGTCTGCGTAAACTTGATCTCACGAGGTTCACTAGGGTCGTAAGAGCTAGGACTGGTTACAGGGAACATTAAGGCGTCGAATGTGATGTTGGCCATTGGTGCGTTGGTTTCCGCGGCCTTGAATATCTCCACTGCAACCGTTTGGGATACGATGAGGGGAGGGTCGAAGGTCGCCATGAATACAACGTCGGGAGGTTTGGTGTCGAGGCCCGTTTGTGCTCTCGCCTCCTCCGAGTGAGGCAGGTCGGTATCAGCCGGCTCCAGCCAGTCCAGAACAGGGCCTGTTGACGAGATCATCTCCTCGTCTGTGAGGCTGGACTTCTCTATGTCCGGTCCGATCCACTTGTCCGAGACTCGGATGGGGCGATATACTATACCGCTAGCTCCTGCGCACTCGACCAGGATCGACCACGTCCTGGCGTCTTCCGTGTCCACCGTGGTAGACTTCAGCTTCCTCCTTGCCTTCCAATAGTCCAGACTCAGCCCAACTCGACCTCGGGTATGCATAAGGGGACACCCGTGTCGAAAGCAGAGTGCCGCAAGTCTCAGTGCTTCTTCGGATGTTCCGCCTGGCGCATCTTTCTCACTCTCGCGTAGCTTCTCCACGTCCCACCGGTGCAGTTTCTCCAAACTCTCCCAAATACCTGCGACGGCCAGGTGACAATTAAGACCTGGGGAGACGCTGAGCTTGTCCAAGGTGGTTATACGCTCGAGGTTGGCCCGAAACTGGGTTAGTCTCTTAGTCAAAGGGCTCTGACCCGGAGCGAGAGAGAGGTCTTTGAGGAGGATGGCCGAGGCTTTCTCAACATGCTGCTCCAGGCTCGGAATGGTCTCGCTGTAGGTCAGCGCGACGTGGTGCACGACATGATTGGTGATGCCGACTTCAACAGCCATGGTCTGTCCCGCTATGATCAGAGTCTTGGCGTTGTCGCCGACACCCGTACTGCTTTCCCACAAGCACTCCAAGTTCAGGTGAACAGCAAGTCTCTCGAGGCCCTCGTTACTGACTCTACCACTGTTCTGGGCCTATTGTGGAAACGTTAGCCCTTGGCTATGCCGTCGCCGATGTGTAAGGGACCACGTACCCATAAAGCAGCTATTACTGCGTCCATTCTCTTATTGCGATCCTCTTCGTCCGTCCGGCCCGCAGCAGCGACGAGGCCCCCAACACTGATATTATCCAGGTTCAGGTCATTGATCGTTATACCCAGAGTGCTGTAAGCAGCGGCGGCCGAGGGGCTGTCGAAGTTGGCGGCGGCATTACCGCCCATCATAATAGCCGACGTTCCGGCAGCGGGAGATTTCTTAAACTGCTGCGGCGAGGATTTCGGGCCATGGGGGGAGAAGGCGGGAACGGTCTGGGGGTTCGAGAAGGGTGTCGAAGCTTGCGGTGTAGGAGCTGCGGCTGTATGCTGCGACGGTGTGCGGCCCTGTTGGGAGGGACCGTGTCGCATGGGGGTCGACATGGTCGACAACGGGGCTCGGATATTTCAAGGTAGAATGCAGGGCAATATAGGATCGATGGATGCTGGAATGCGTGACGAGGAATGCAGGCAGAGGCTCAACGACCTAGGTACCGAGAGTCCTATACCAGGTTGAGGAGCGAAAGCGAAGCATATTCTTCGGCGCGTACCTGCGTATATTTCTGAGGAGTATCAGTGATACACTCTTCATCGATGTCCGTGTTGTCGCGATCGTGATAATCGGCCTGCTTGAGGATAACGTGAAGTAGACGTGAAGTACGAATTCCAAGTGAACTCGCACCTGAAGCTTAGCAACTAGTAGAGCTTGCGTTAGTGGGGAAGCAAACAAAAGCGAGCTAAGCTGGCCCCGGGGAAACTCCCACTAACCAAGCTACCCAGAGACGCGTTCGGGGACCTGCAGAGGGACGGTTAGGGGAGTGCGTTGATTGGCTACAGGAGTCTTGGGTACCTAGGTACCTTCTAATCGGGCTACCCAGGCATTTCTCAGCCGCACGGCAACTACCACTCTATTTGAAATCAGAACATTCCCGATATGTGAATGTCGATACGATTTATTTGCGTAAAAAATGTTTAGGAGTGTACTAGTGAGTCTTGCTAATCTGAATGTATCATCAACCATTGCTCAGAATCACCGCTTGGGGGGAAGCTCAAGCGCATACGGGTTAAACGCATGCATGCCGCTAGGAGCTAAGGACTTTGGTATATAAGCCAACATTTCCCACCGCCAATCAGGTGAATCACCCTTAGGTCGACTGGTGTAGTGGTTATCACGTCTGTCTTACAACTGCGCCCTACGGCGTATTGTGAGGACACAGAAGGTCGCAGGTTCGATCCCTGCGTCGATCAACTTTTGCTCTTGCCCATTTATTATTTTATATTGTGAATTGATTTTTGAATGTTTCCTTGTTCGCTTATCACATACATTATTAAACCCTTAATTATGTAAGATCAGTGTAGTTAAAGTATTATCCTGAATTGGCGCAAATCGTCGACCGGAAAGATGCTGTCATGGCAAGGGACGAAGATAATAGACAAGGTAGCATAATTGACAAAAGTCTCCAGACATTTTCATACTAGCACCTTCTCATCTTAGGAGTCTCAGGCTTGGAATTATCCACTCTGGAACAGGTTGGCTATTGCACAAATAAAGGCGGCTGGTTCATTTATTGACGTTCGGAAGTAAGAAGGCGGCACGGAGCGAGTTGCAACGCCGATCTTAGTGGCTGTTTGTGCCGGAAGGTCAGAAAAATAATTGCAACTCGGTCGACGTCAGACTACCTCTTCTAATACATCTGAGCTCATAGCTAAAGAGAAACAAGAAAGAAACAGATGGCTGCTGACCAGAAGAAGCCCGCCAAGACCAGCAAGGACTACAAAGGTTTTGTCGCTGGCGTCTTCTCCGGCATTGCCAAGCTGTCGGGTAAGTATCAAGGTTTTTTTCTCTATTTTTTTTTTTCTTTCCCCTACATTTCTCACCCGGCATATCCGATGTCTCTTCTAATCATACTCCTGCGTAGTCGGCCACCCCTTCGACACCATCAAGGTGCGCCTGCAGACGACCGACTCGACGCGCTTCAGCGGGCCGCTGCAGTGCCTCGTGCAGACGATCCGCCATGAGGGCGTGCGCGGGCTGTACAAGGGCGCCACGCCGCCGCTCGTCGGCTGGATGTTCATGGACTCCATCATGCTGGGGTCGCTGACCGTCTACCGCCGCCTGCTCGCCGAGAACGTCTTCTGCCGCGGCCTGACGCCCCATCATCCTGCAGCACCGTCAGGGTCATCGTCAACCTCATCGTCGCTGCCGCCCCCCCCTCCCGAGAAGGAGGGCCCGATCGCGGCGACCTCGCACGCGGCGGCGCACCTGCCGTCGTACGGCCACGGCCTCGCGGGCGTCATGGCGGGGTGCACGGTGAGCTTCATCGCGGCGCCGGTCGAGCACGTCAAGGCGCGACTGCAGATCCAGTACTCGGCGCGTAAGACGGACCGGCTGTACTCGGGGCCCGTCGACTGCGTGCGCAAGCTGTACGGCGCCCACGGCGTCGCGGGCGTCTACCGCGGCTTCTTCGCCACGCTTCTCTTCCGCTCCTTCTTCTTCTTCTGGTGGGCCTCGTACGACCTGATCTCGCGCGCCGCCCGCGACCGCACGAGTCTCGGCGCCCCCGCCATCAACTTCTGGGCCGGCGGCCTCAGCGCACAGGTCTTCTGGCTCACCAGCTATCCGAGTGATGTCGTCAAGCAGCGCATCATGACCGACCCCATGGGCGGCAAGCTCAACGACGGCACCCCCAGGTTCAAGAGCTGGTGGCAGGCCGCCCAGGCCGTGTATAGGGAGGGCGGCGCGAAGGGATACTGGCGAGGGTTCGTGCCCTGTTTTCTGAGAGCGTTCCCGGCCAATGCGATGGCGCTGGTGGCATTCGAGGGAGTCATGAGAGGATTACCTTGACCGGTAGAATATAAGATAGACATGAAAACCTCTTCACTCAGATTCCTGAAACTGCATCATAGAACCAACCGCTTTGCTAATGAATATGGGCATGCCGGCTCAACCGCTCTTTCCACTATGTAAGATAGGCAGTTGTCTTCAGATACGGCAACAATACGGCACATGGAAGCATGGAATAGTATAACAAGACGGCTTGGGGAGATATTTGTTTGTTCTGGCATCTTTTATTTCCGGGAATCGAGTCTATCCACGATAGTAAAGGTGCCTATCATACGCCGAGCCCATGCACCGCCAGCCTTTTTCCGATTCATCAAGTTCCCATGCGCATTTAATCATCGTCCTCATCAGCCTCATCGTTAACGACGTTGAAGAACTTGAGTTCGTAGACGCCCTTCGAGGTCGACACGACGCGGAGCCAGTCACGGAGCTGCATCTTCTTGAGGAACTTCTTGGTCCTAAAGGCACAAAGTATTAGCTTCACGAAATAGTTGAGAACAGTGTAGGAAGTATCAAGGCAACTCACAGGTACTTGAGGTATCGACCAGAGAGCTCGTTGTGCGCGATGACCTCGATCTTGCCCTCGCCAGCCTGCTGGATAACAATGGTGTCGCCGAGGTTGCCAGTGCGGCCGTCAACCTTGATCTTGTCCTGGAGGAACTTCTCGAAAGCGGCGGTGTCGAAGATCTTGTCGCTGGCGGGCTGCTGGGCGTTGATGACGAACTGAGAGGGACGCGTTAGCAATTGCTACAACGGTAGGGGAGAGGATAGCTTACCTTCTTCGTCGTCTTGGCCTGCTTGCCGGACTTCTTCTACATGATTGAAAAATTGACTTTAGCCTACTGTTTCACGCCATGATCTCGCTGAAAATGCCAGAGAGACTGGGCCAACAGCAAAGCGGTGTCAAGTTGTACATACTGTCTTGGGAGCCATTGTTACTTAGTTTCTGATGTGGACGCAAAGAAGTTTAATCCTGCGCCTGAAGAGAGAGAGAGTTGGCGGTGAAATGTTGCTTGGAATGGCGTTGTGCGATCGCAGTTGTTGGAGAAAAAGGAAAAAGTTCGTGGGATTTTTTGCGATTCGAACTTTTTGGTGTATCGAAGCGAAGCGGGGCTTGGATGGTACGTAGGTACTTGCGATAGGGCAAGCTAGCGGGCAGGGCAGGAGGGATTTAAGAGAGCTGAGCTGGTCTGTGCGTGAACGAGGAGATGATCTTATCGATATGCATCATCACGTGCAACAGCGAGGATGCACCTCTACAAACTACAAACACCTCGGCCGCCCCAATTCAGTTACTCGGCCATCCTGTAAGGAACCCGTCACAGTACGAGCCTACAGTTCATCTTGACTGCATAAACGGTATTTCACTTCGGTTCGCGCGTGTACGTGTACTCCAACAGTCTATACCTCGCCTGGCAACCCATTCATTAGCGCTGCTTTTAAGTGTCGCGCAAAAGAGTTGGAGAAGATATACCCGCCACTGATGGCAAACGTCTAAGACGAAAAGGGGAAGGGCCTCGGTTGATGTCGTCAACCCCCTGAACGCTTCAGCCAAGCCAAGCCAGCATCCAAGACATGGGAGGTTGGACTAAGACATCATGGTCCATCGTCACAGAGCAACCGATAATACATAGACATCTCCTCACTAGCTCCCGCTCGTAGGCCCCTCCGTCTCTTTAAGTCGTCCCGCTTCTCGAGCTTCTCTCCACTACATTTCACTTCGGTAACACCTCATCTCGTCACCATGGCCGTCGCCAACGATATCCCCGCCTTCGAGGCGACACCACTCGACACCATTTCTCAGATGGCAGCTACGGCGCGCAGCTCATTCAAGTCTCACAAGACCAAGGATGTCGAGTGGCGGCTTGTACAGCTTCGCAAGCTCTACTGGGGACTTACAGACAACTCCGAAAAGATCCAGCTCGCCTTGAAGAAGGACCTGGGCAAGCCATCTCATGATGCCATCCTCTCAGAAATCAACCACCTGCAGCAGGATCTCTACCTGACTATCTCAAAACTGAAGGACTGGGCCAAGGACAGCAAGGATATCGACTACCCGTGGAGCTTCGCCGCCATGAAGCCCCGTATCAGAAAAGAGCCTCTGGGCACGGTGCTCGTCATCGGAGCATACAACGTCCCTCTGATGCTCAGTCTCGCACCTTTTATCGGTGCCATGGCCGCTGGGTGCACGGCTATCCTCAAGCCTTCCGAAAACGCGGCTGCAACTGCTATGGTTATGAAGGAGATCATCGAGGGGTACCTTGATCCTTCTTGTTTCTTCGTCGTCAACGGGGCGATTCCCGAGTCCACCGCCCTCCTGGACGAGAAGTGGGACAAGATCTTCTACACCGGAAACAGCACCGTGGCCAGGATCGTCTCCAAGAAAGCGGCCGAGACTCTCACGCCCGTTACCCTCGAGCTCGGAGGACGGAATCCTTCGTTCGTCTCTAAATCTGCCGATGTAGCACTAGCTGCCCGGCGTCTGCTTTGGGGAAAGACGATGAACGCTGGCCAGATCTGCTTGTCGCAAAACTACGTGCTCGTCCAAAAAGAGGTTATCGACGACTTCATCAAGTACCTGAACGCGAACTACCAGGAATTCTATCCTAACGGCCCTCGGAAGAGCGAAGACTATGCCCGCATTATCAACGAGCGCCAGTTCGACCGCATCAAGAACATGCTTGACACGACAAAAGGCAAGATCGTGATGGGTGGCGAGACAGACAGGTCCGACCTTTACATCTCACCCACTGTCGTTCTTGTAGATTCTATTGATGATGCCATGGTGACGGAAGAGTCCTTTGGTCCTATCTGGTCTATCGTGCCGTTTGATACCGTAGACGACGCCATCCAGCTCGCGAATAAGGTCGATCCCACACCTCTGGCCCTCACGACATTTGGGTCTAAATCCGAAAACGAAAAGAGTGAGTTTTCATGCGTTTTAGCCCTCCAACTACACTACCTCTTTATCTGGAAATTTATCTAACCGTACCCGCAGTTCTTAACCAAGTCACCTCGGGCGGCGCCACCATCAACGACGCGTGGATGCACGGGGCGATAGCGACGCTGCCGTTCGGCGGCGTGGGCGAGTCGGGGACGGGGTCGTACCACGGGCGGGCGTCGTTCGACTGCTTCACGCACCGGCGGACGGTGGCCGAGGTGCCGGGCTGGATGGACAAGCTGCTGCGGGTGCGGTACCCGCCCTTCTCGCCCGGCGACTTCAAGCGCCACATCTGGATGAACACGCCGCGGCCCGGCTTCGACCGCGACGGCAGGGCCCTCTCCGGGCCCTCGTACTGGCTCTGGCTCGTCCTCGGGCTCGGCGGCCCCTCTGCCAAAGGTGCGTTGCTAAGGTGGCTCGTTCTCCTTGCCTCGGCGTACGCCGCCTTCTTCCAGTTTCGGAGGA